TCACAGGACCGCAGCAAAAACCATTTTGATATAATTTTGGAAGTGAAATCTACTAAAACGCACGAGCGATCAACCGCTGAATTAACGCTGAATTCAAAGATGGGCGCCAAAAGAGAATGAATAACGCGATCTTTGTCACGTTCAGTCACCAGGATAGTCACGTGAAAATTCGCATGCTGTGATTGGTTCAGTTGATCAGTTGAGGAGAGAATGGAAACTAGAGAAGAACGAGAGAGACACTGGCAACGAGGTTGCCGGACCGGTCGCTTTCAATGGCAAGTCTGTTTCCCTTTCCACGCTGTTTTGGTGGTCTTCTGAAAGAACGGTCTTGCTTCAAAAGGAAAAAACTACACAAACGTTTTACGAAGAAATCAAGGAGGAAAATGGAACGTACTTTAACTGGTTGATCTGTTCTCGATGGTTGTCGAGATAACAAAGGATCGTGAGGCACTTAAATCAAGTTCACTGCAAAGGTAAGGAATCCAATTTTATAGGGATTTTCTGTTATGATAAGCTATAATTGTAAGTAAATCAAACTAAGCAATGCATTGTGTGCTCTTTAAAAACCCCAAAATTCCGAAATTCACCTAAAAGGTTTCAGATCGACCTGAGGAAACGAGATAAATTCTGCGAAATAAGCTTAAGCTNTGCATTGTGTGCTCTTTAAAAACCCCAAAAGCCGAAATTTACCTAAAAGGTTTCAAATCGACCTGAGGAAACGAGATAAATTCTGCGAAATAAGCTTAAGCTTGTTGTATTAGTCCACCAAATCTCTTTTGAGAGCCCACGTGTTTCAACACCCAGTCAGCATAATGCAGCAAGTATAAATTTGCAATGCTTGTCATTTTTTTCCTTTGAATTATTTATAAGGACTAACGTGATATGAGATCTATAGTCTTCTTAATACATCAAGATGTAGGTTTTTTTTATTTGCATTGTCATTTATTTGTGTCAGTTATTTATTTGATTCCCACTGACTCATAATCTTTTTGATTCATTTGATTTTGTTGTGTTATGAATTAAAGTGACCGCAAGGACAAGGAAATACAAGAAACATATTGATGATCCCACTATACCCATACCAAAATCTACAAGATTCGACCACATAAATCGCTTAAGGCAGTCTTCACAGGCCAGTTGACGTCATCTCCCTCTCTTGCATCACTTTTTGCTGGAGATCATTTCCAGCACCATGAACAGAAAACCTCAGAGTCTTCGGCTCACCTGAGTGAGATGGCTGTTGGCAAAAATGTTGTGGATGACTTTGATGGATTATGGAGTCAACCTTTATGCAAGAATTGAAGCTTCACAG